CTTACAAGTTATACAATGGTTTGTTAGAAAAGTTATAAGAATACGAAAACGCTCTATTGATAAAAAAGTAATATATCAAAGTTGTAGCAACAACATTTTTGTAAAGAGCATTATTATGCCTTGTATGTATCTAATTAACCCTATATGAATTACAATTCCTGCGTCTCGGCCACAGGATATTCTACTATATGTTAAATAAAGAGAAAATTTTAAAAATTATCGCTTAGACCAATCATCAACCTGTTTGAAACATGTTACCCATGATCAAAAATGGCGACTAACGACCTCTTTTTAATGCGTATTAATTTTGATATAAGAAATACGCCCCACTAATAGGTAACTTCAAGCCGGCCGATTAAAGGCTAGTTCGCGGTGTTTACAAAAAGACGCAGTAAATAATATAGGGGTGTTATACAATCTTTTGTTCCACAACTTCAAATACTTGTCGGCACCACGAGGTGGCGCACTGTAGGTATTTTTACAGACCATTGACATATCATTTGTTTGAGTCAGACAAGTTTCATATTTAAATTATTTAAGAACAAAATTAGTTCATGCAACTGAATAAAAACTATCAAATATATCCTTTGTGCGATCTAATTTTATATTACTATAATTTTTACAATGGTGGGTATGGCTATCCTTATGAATTTTGCATGGTTGATTTTGTTTCAGTGCTAGTTTGTCAGATCATTTATGATACTAAAAAATTATGATAAAGAACACTGCTTCAGGTAAGTTGAGTTAAATACGAGGGTTTCTGACACATAGATTCAAAGTCATACTCAATAAGTTTGTTAAATACAATGGTTTCTACCACGTACATTCAAAATCATGCTAAATAAGTTTGTTAAATACAAGGGTTTTTACCACGTAGATTTCAAATCATACTCAATAAGTTTGTTAAGTACGAGGATTTCTACCACGTAGATTCAAAATCATGCTAAATAAGTTTGTTAAATACAAGGGTTTTTACCACGTAGATTTCAAATAATACTCAATAAGTTTGTTAAGTACGAGGATTTCTACCACGTAGATTCAAAACCATACTCAATAAGTCGTAGGGCTTATTACGTTAAAAACAGGGTTTTGATATTTGCAGCGGGCACAACACAGATAGCCCACTGTTTAGCTTTACGTTTAACAACAAATACAAAACATAATTAGCAGTATATTCAACTTCGATATGTTACACATACATCGGCTATAATGTATAACATTGCTATTCTAATATTAGCATTCTAATATTAATATGTATGACAAACTGAATGAAACATAATTTGAAAAATAACAGTAAAATTTAAAAAAATCAATTTAAACAAACATGTTAGTAAATCGCACAATCTGTAAAGCATAGGCTGCTTTTGGAGAAAAAGGGAATGAGTGGTGAAGCCATAATGGGGCTCCTCCAGCATGCTCCCTCAGAAACATTTTGCAATTTTCACTGAAAATGGTGCTTTTTCACGATATCTGAGGCTGTTTTAACTCTTGTTTTTAAATATGCTTTATACATATGTGGATGCAATTTATAGGTTGCAATAGTCCCCTCCTACCTACCTGCATGATTATTATCTACCACATTGAAATGTCTTTTAAAAATCACTCATAAAAATCCATCTTAACAGATCAATCATATAAATATTCCAAAAGTTGTATTGACGTTCATTTTTCACTATAAAAAAGTCAAGCTCTTAAAGAAATACATTTATGAAAAATGTAATACTTTTTAATTTTAAAAGACTAGTCAGTTACTATCTACTCCCTTAAAAATAGACCCGGGCATAGCCTATTAGTTAACTTTGACCCACTGCCATTATAAAGTGCTAACTGACGCCGTGATACGTTTTAAAAGTGACGGTCAAATCCCTTCCCTTTCAACAAACAAAGACGCTAGTCATGACTTAAAACGTTAAGAAAGTAATTCCGTGATGATACGGCGGTGACTTTACGAACTTACAGCGCTAAAATTCTGAGTTCGATTTCCCGCGATGGACACGATAGATAGCTCAATGTGGCTTTATTCTGAAACAAACAATTCAAGAAAGGCAGCTATAGCCATCTAGTGATTAAAATATGAAGTAGGTAGCAGAGACAACAAAACTGCCTGAAACACCATACGTCAACCCTATTTGACGACATCCCGTCAGTGATTTCATTACTGGATCAGACAGTAGTACCACAAGAGTGGTGATGGGTGCTGTTGACTAGCTGCCTTCCCTCTGGCCCATCAGTTCAAAATTAGGGACTGTTATGCAGATATAGCCTTTATATAGCTTTACGCAAAACTCTGAAACAAACAAACCAAACGAATAAAAACGAGTATTTTTGTTTGTTTATTTTCTCTCTAGCTTCATGTTACTAGCTGCCTAGTTTTAGCAGAATAAGTTATTTGAAACACTGATAGTGAACTGACGGATCATGAGTTAAATTTGAACGACTCTATATTTATTCATCTACAAATTTATTTCGATGTTAGTAACGAAAAATTGAAGAGTTGATTAAACAGCCTAACCCCATATTACAGTAAACAACCAGCGGTTTCTTTTTAATTTTTTGTTTTGGTTTGTTTCGAATTTCGCGCAAAACTAAACGAGGGCTATCAACGCTAGCCGTCTCTAACTTAGCAGTGATAGACTAGAGGAAAAACAGCTAGTCAACACCACTGGCTCTTGGGATACTCTTTTACCAAAAAGGGATTGACCGTGACATTATAACGTTCTTAAGGCTAAAAAGGTGACCATGTTCGGTGTGACAGGGATTCATTTGTTGAACTACCGTTTGATATAATGTTTTCAATCCCCAATAATATAAGTTAGTTAAATATTGTACTGTTGTGAACATATATAAATATATGTATTATTATTATTTTTCACTAGAGGAGTTTCATTCCATGATGTAATAGTTTAGAAGTTTCGTGAAATTTAGCTTCTGTGCGATCTCGAAGCTTCCTACAGTGCAATATAAAAATGACAGACTGTGTGATATGCAGTTTAGTTCAGTGTCAGTTAATTACTTAGACAATGAAAGTTTATCCATCTTTCATAAATGATCGAGTTAATAAAGTCAATCAGCATGTTTGTTATCGATTCATTTGCGAGGAAACTTTGCAAATAATTTAGATGTACATTACTTTCGGAATTTCTCTTGAAATGTTATTTGCGAAGTTAGACCTATCAGTGAACATATCCTGTAGCGAACGTTATTGTAGAAATAAACTAATTCATTATCGTTAGGTGGACTCAATTTGGTATTATTTTTACTGAATAATTTAAAAAAGCCTGTCCAACGAAAGAACATGTATTATGACATTGACGAGTAGAAAAAAAAATTAAACATCAAATATTATCAATACTATAATTCTAAAGTTTCTTTCTTATATCGCCCCCAATGGCACAGCAGAATGTCTGTGGACTTACAATGCTAGAAATTTCACACAAACAAACATTCCACCTTAATGATACAAATGAGCTTCGAAATACTCAAGTATGAAAGCAACTTACAAATTAAGTCAACTGTTTGTAGTTTCACCTATTCACTAAATCTTGTCAAATCAGGAAAAGTTTTAATTTCATTAAAACTTAAATTCATAATAGAAGATAAACAAATGTTCTGTCGAAACATTCAGTATATTCCCGTTATGCTTATAAATTGTTGTTTGTAAATTTACTATTATGTTAGCCTAACGAGATTCCATACACAAGTAACAACTGATTTGTTTTATAATATTTTTTGGAGACTGAAAAACAACAACATGAAACTATTGTTTTAAATAATTTTATATGTACGTGTGTCATTGGCCAAACCTATTTGGTATGCAAGCATTTTATTTGTTTACTATCTCCTTGTATTAATATAGATTTTCATTTATTCGGGTGTATGCATGATTTTCACATAGCATTTTGATCAAGAAAGACGCTAAGTTCCTCTCACTCTAGATATCTATTGTTCTGTGTCATTCACCTAAGATATTGGCCCCCCCCAGTTGGCTCAGCTGTAATTTTCAAGGCTTATAACGCTTAAAACCGGGTTTGATACCTGAGGTCGGAGCAACATAGATAACCCGTTGTGTAGTTTTGCACTTAACAAGAAAACAAACAAACACCAATGATATAACCTTTGTCTTTCTGTTGGAAATGTTTCTGAAAAGTTAATTATATCATATGTAAGGGTATATACTGACATTTTACAGTGGTCAGTCAGGTAATGTCCAGAGACTACAACCTCTTATGATAAAAGGAAATCACAAACAGTCACGTAGATAGCTCAAGACACTTTGGGAAAGTATATCATTATAGTTTAAAGTATATAACGTGATGTTTTCTTGTTCTGGGACAAGCTTAATGAGAACAGAGTTTGAAACAGCTTAACACATTTCTCTCCAGAAAAGGCGACTGTCCGTCGTGCTAATTATATATATACACTGCTGTTTGTGTCAGTAAACAGATACTTTTTTTCACTGTGTGTTTTACATTGTGTCCAGTCTTCATCTCTTACAGTTTAATTAAGTTCAGAAAAACCCAGAATTACTTTGCGATATTTTCTTATCGAATTTTTCGTTATATAGCGGACCTATTTTATTCACTCTATGGGCAAAATTAGTTTTATCTGAGAAAATCACACTTATATTATAACTGACATAAATTCAAAATTGAGTCTGAAGTCAGTTCATATATAAAATCATACAGATAGACTGTGACATTTTTTTATATTTTCGATGCACCCGATTTTCGGAAAATAGTATAGAAATATACGAACTTGGAGTCTGTTATACAATTTAAACAGATTTTCTTCTTTAATATTATACAAATATCTGCATTCATCAGATATATTATTTTGAAATATAATATAATTTCAGCAAATTTAAGTGAATAGTAAATCATCTTAGACATGTAACTAATTACACATAAAACGATTATATATCCTTATGTATATACTTTTTACTGATGTTTCAAAACACTTTATGGCGTCACCTGTAAAATAACTTGAAACAATCAGCGGTAGATTTAAAATTTTGCTGATCTGCAAAGAATTGTCACGGCAATGTTAAATTTAAAGAGAAACATAAATTAGCCTTATTTTGATGTAAACAAGAAGTAATGGTAAGCTTCTTAGCAGAAAATGGCATTCAAATGCTGTGTTATACATATAGATAAATGAGTGAAAATTAAAACCTGCAAAAGTTAAAAATTATCTCTAGATTAGGTCAAAACTGACAAAAATATTCGACTAAGTAATGAGTTATATTAAATTTAGTATGCCACCGCCAGTTACGGAGTTAAACTAAGAGCAAGACTAAATCCCTAACCTCTAAAGTTAAACTAAAGTCTAAACTAATAATTAATATTATTACTATTACAGTTAAAGAAGTAGAATCATAACAATGATAATTAAGACTGATTCGCTAACTTAGTATAATTGACATTGTTACAAAGGACATCTTTAGACTTATGAGCTATAATTATACATTATAATTTATATTTCTAAGTTCTAGTATTACTAACAATCAAAAAATCTTTTTTTCGACGTTGTACTTTATAGATTTATGATTTTCTTCGGTGATAATAATATGTCGTTTTTAAATCTAAAGCAAAGTTATTTTATTTTTACAGTATATGTCCTGGAAATACTGTAATTCATTCTATTATTCAATATAATTAGCTCCATGTTGCATACTAAATAATATTTAAATTTAAAATCTAACAAATTCACAGAGATTATATAGCCTGATATAGATAAAAATAATTTATAGAAACAAAAGTAACAACAGAACAATATGTGTTGCCAAATATAGAAATTATTGTTAATAGCAATGGCTTCTACTCCTAGTGATAATTTAGTTTATTCTAATCAATAAGCTTTAATTTTCTTGTGCATTAATATGATATTATGTACTTCTTATCAGATTGTTTTATCAAGTTTGCATTACCTTCATTAATTTATAGGTTAATGTAACTGTGATCTATATAGCTTTCCTTTGATTGAAAGTTATTGATAATTATTCAAAACTAATGTACACCATGTACTTCAGAAACATGTATTTATATGTTTTGTAGTTAATTTTTGTATATATTTTTTGTTTGTATTACTCCAATCTACTTGACAAAATAAATTTACCTAATTCTTTTTCAGCCATGTCTGGACATTTTGACAAGTATGGTTTTGAAATTCTGAAACCACCTGTTAGTGCTTTTCAAGGTAAGGATAATGTTTCAAGCTTTAAGGATGATATAGTAGAGGCACGTGTACAGGACTACTGGTATTATGATGATGATTATATGTGCCATATATATGATGAAGAAGACAGAAGTCTGGAAAATGAATGGCAGAAAGTTTTCTCAAAGTGGGATCGTTACAGACAGTGTGTGAAAAGAGAAAAGGTAAATGATGCCCCATGTCTATTATTTTCCCCCATGTCAATGATGTACAGTGTACCTGTAAATTTATTGTAAGTCAAAGTTACAAGATTATCCAGTGGTTGATAGGATAAAGGTCTTTGATTTCTTTGTGCTGTATTTTGAAGATAATAGGATGAGAGGACACAAATTTAAGATTTGAAAAAGACAGACTAGGCTCCAATTAAGACAGTTTTATTTTTCTATTACGGTGATTGGCTTATTGGATGAGCTGCCTTTGGCAGTAGTGGTAGCCAGCAATTTATAGGAGTTTACTTTTCTCATGGGTGGATGTGCAAGGGCAGCCTTGAAGTTCTAAGTGGTCTATTTTTGTTTGCTTTATTAAATGCAATGCTCATAATTTACTGCTGTTGTATCTGTAATTTTTTAAATAATTTTGATAATACTAATTTTACCTCAATGTACCAATGTAATATACATGTAGAAACTTACTGACTGAGTAAAAGCAGAGTTTATGTATTTTTGAATTTAATTTTTTTTGTCAAGGTAAGACATCACAGTTATCTAAAGAAATTCATGTATGCTCTAACTTCAACTAACTGTTCTTAAAAATACACAGACCTTACTTGCGTATGCCATTTATGTTATTAATAGTTCATTCAAAACCAAAGGAGATATATGTGACAAACATTTTTTAATTGTGTACTGAATTATTTTGTTACTTAAACTAGTCATCACAACACCAAAGCAAATTCTAGTTACAGTATTCTGAAATTAGTAACATAATTTCTAAAGGAATATTTTTCTATCAATTTCTATTAAACTTTTCAAATACCACATGAGCACAGAAAGGTAAGTATCTCAAAATGTAAAATCCTTGTCATTTTTTCTTTGATATTCCTTCTTATGAAAAGAAGGGATAAAAATGATTAAGGTGACAAGAATGTTTAAGTGGGCTTTTAACCACAAGGTTCAATAGGTGTATATGTAATATAAAACAGCATATTTACAAAATACTTTTATCTACTGGCATGTAATGTGTGTATAAAGGATAGTTGATGTGTGTTTGTTTTTTCAGCTGAAAGCATTGATCAAGGTTGGCATTCCAATGAACACAAGACCAGAACTTTGGAGGAAGTTGTTAGAGTTCAACATAGCTATGGCAAACACTAAATTTTCTTATGAGGTAAATATAAAAAATTATATATTACATCTCTGTTTTAGTACTAGTAATCTTTTAAATAAGTGCATATAGAATTAAAAATAATAGCTTGTTAAGTATAATTTTCAGTACCATTTGATATTGTGTCATTGTCTTTGTTTCTGTGGTTGATCATACTTTAAAAACAAACACATTAAATAATACAAATATCATTATATAAACCTTTTAAAGCTGTACCTCAAATGAAACAATTTTTGGAACACTGTTTCTAATAAAGTGTGTGAAAGTAGGCATTGTAACATTTACATGAAAAACTTAAAAATTTCTTCGTTCTTAGTTTAATAAATTCATCAGTTTCTAAAATAAAATATTGGTTTAGTTTGCTTGATTAAATTGTATATACTTTCAAATTAACATATTATTAGTTTGAGGTAGATTAGAAACAAGTACCAGAAACCACTTAACACATCCATGGAAGCTTTATTTTGTATATGTGTATATCATATTCAGTGAAATTTAAAATCAAGGAATTCTATGACAAAAAATATTAGGACTATTTTTTACACACAAAAAAATTATTTAATCAGTTAGTCCTTATGGTATTTAATTTCTAAAAAATCTGATCACTCTCTATGATGTTTCCTTTACATAACTTACATATTGTGTTTCTTGCTAACATTCACAAATTTAACTGATATCAAGCTGTTCTAAACTTTAATTTCAATGTATGATTACCAGATTTCTAGAATCAAAAACTGGAGCTTTTTTCCATAGTGACACATTAACAGCCCAGTAACAATTTAAATTACAATAATGCACTTTTTACATTTGTTAAATAGTCTAATGTTCATTACATCATGACAGTATATGTTAAAAGCTTATATATAGTTAAAAAAATAATAAATAAAACGTCCCTAAGTTGGTTTGAACCTACTCATAAGAAATATGTTACTTCTTCATTTTCTTTTTTCTCATCTGGGTAGGTTTCCAAATCTCAGTTCCTGCAACTGCCCAATGACAGGTTGGGTTAAGAAAACATTATAGAGAGGGAAAGAACATTGTACCACGTGATATGTTATTGTTAGGTGATTCTACAAATAAAATTTAAGAACTCTGTATAATGACAAACTGTATATATCACACTCACATTCAGGTACAGAAGAACTGGGACAATTTAATACTTCTGTTGTGTCTGATCAGGACAAAAAAATGCCTAAAAACATGGACATCTGGTAACCCTACTTATGTTTGTTTATGACAATATCCAAGTCTCATCAGTAAACTGGTCCTAAGTCAAGTCATATGTTTATATTTGTTTTGATATCATAATAGCATGTTAACAAAAAAAAGGACAGTTTTTATGCACTTGTAGGACTTAAAACAAAATTTGCAGCCGTGTTAACATTTTCTGGTACACAATTTAGTTTATTTTTTAGGTATATTTTATATTTATTTCACACGTTCTATGAAAGTGGATGTTGAGTTCTTTGTAAGTTTTATAGCTGTGATGTTATATAAATACACATTGTATAACACTTTTTACTAAATGAATAAAATGAAATATATAGACAGTTTTTCCAAATATTATATGAGGCTTTATTTGGTGCAAATTTTCAATTCATTATGAGCATAAAATGTCACTTTCTTTTATATATATGAATCATATAGAAATATGTACTCATAATTACTTGCATTACTTTGAAATTATGGACTTGAGTTTGGGAGGACCTGGGAAAACAGCATAGGTAGGTATTAATATTCTTAATATATTAAAATGTGATTTACAAATGGGTTTCATTTTCTTTTTCAAACAACTTTTTGAATAATATAATTGATCGATATCCACCATGTGAAACTGTAATAAAATTAATAATGATATAGTTATAAGATAATGCATACTACATTGCATATATCAAGAATTGCACAAACACTAGTTTTATGTATATTTACTTACAAATTTACACTGGTAGAATAAGATACTTTAATTTTTTGCAAAAATACACTAAAAACAGATATATATATTTCATTTGTTTCAAGGTAGTTCCATTTAAAAGTAGTCTTTGCTAGTAAAAGCTAGCATATTACTGTTTTGATAATGTCAGAAAGATACGTAAGTTCAAGAAGTCTTAATATAAAATGATAAGAACCCTGTAACCTGAGTGCTTTTGAAAGGTACACCTTTTGAAAGTGCTCAGGTAGGTTTTTTTATCATTTTCTATTACTGGTAAGGTACTTGTAAGCCTTGAATACATGAATAATGTAATTTGTGCTGCCATCTTTGTGGAGTAATTAAAAACTAAAGAACAATGTATTGCTATAGATAATTTTTGTTATTTATTTTAGTCACAACCTTATAACTGTGTTTATGTATATAACGGGCTACAAGGATTGATGTGTAGTATGCAGACATACAAATATCGTGTTTCCTTTCCTTTTAGCCTGCGAACATTTCTTGGTTGCCATGTATCTTGGTACTCATATAGATTTAACAATAGAGGACTGGTTCTGAAATGTGACTAAATTGCTTTTGTCCTTCTTATGCACTGTCTTGGGCCATTCTCACTTGGTGTCATCAATGTTATCTGATGGGAAATATTGCTTTAGGAATGTATATTAAACACACTTAGTAGATTTTGGCAGTGACCTTAACTACTGGTCAGTCTTATGATGTTTGGAGGTAATAAACTCCTTATTTTTACCTGTGGAATGACCAACAGTAATGCACTCTAAGAAAGATGACTGTTGGTTTGAATATAGTAATTAGCTCTCTCAGTCCTCGTAGAGATTATATGGTTTCATCAAGATCTCTCTTTAGACGCTAGAGAGAGGTGCTGTCCTTCATTTTGTGAACCCATCCTGTTGTTTGCACTTCTTTCCCTTTTGTTCATTTTAGGCTATTCCTCAAGCTGTTTAATTATTATTCTTGTTTAAAGCTAATCAGTGCACCTGAGAGTACCACAGGTGCATGAATATTTTAGTTGCCCATTTATTAAAGATGAAATAACTCCTGGACTGTGCACTGACAGAAGTGTTGCGACAAGACTCCATAATTAGAGAGAGGAGAGATTTGGCTCGTGCTAATTCCCTCTAATGTGTAAGTAAGTCAGTTGTTAAAAACAAATTCTATTCAAATTAATACTAAGCCTGTGTCTACAAATAGTGGAGGCATTTATTCAAGTAGTTGAGTGTGAATGTGAGGCTGGTATTCCATTTTAAATGTACACACATACACAGAAAAAACTACTTATATACAGGAGATTTTGTTTAACTTTGATAGATATTTCATCAGACATTTATAATTTTCATATAACCCATATAGTTTTTACATAAAGTAAACCTATTCAGATAATTCATATGTCAAAGAAAATATCACATTTTTTTTCTGTTGCACAGGGTAATAATACTTCTAATCTTTCCTTAGGTATTTGTTTCCTTTCTACTATGTATGATAATATACTCATACTTTGCCAGAACTGCTTTTAAATGTTGGATGAATCTTGTATTTATTCTAGGCATCTGTGTCTTTGCTGAGAGAGGAACTTATATTCCTAGGTGTAACTGAATTTAACACTCAGAGTTTTGAAACCATATTATCTGAACTTGAGCAAGATAAGGAAGATATTTCATATAAATGTTTAACATTCAACCCACAGTTCCTGAGACAGATCGTGTTGGATGTTGGTAATGTGCTAGGTCTTGTTTTTCTGAAATAGCAGTGTAATTGCCATAATAAATTTGAAAGCTAGAAAGGCTTTTACTTCTGCAACTAAATAACTGTGATAGTCAGAGTGTGGTGTATAAGGAGATATAGATATAGAAAACTTGTGTATATTTAATAATATACATATATATGTATATATAAATGTTCACGTATATAATCTTTCCACTAAACGTAGTCCAATTCTGTTCAATACTATCTCAAACATTTTACTAGCACATCTGCAAGAGGCAGATACTGGAGAAAAAATATCACCAAGCAAAGGTGGAATGAGAATTCTATGGAGTTTAGAAAGTTTTTATTATTATTGACTGTTTTACTTCTCTTTCATTTAAAAAATCTCTTAATAATCTTGAATATTTTAAACATTAAATATAGAATGTTTAATGGATTTTGCTCAGTGAAAGAAAAACATTGAAGGTCACTTCAGATCTAGAATCCAAGTAAAATATTATTAACATAAATATGTGAGATTATATATTTGTATGTGTTTTTTATTTTGAAGGCTAGATTTTCTGACTATTTGAATGAAATCATCTGTTGACAATGGAGACAGATGTTTAATTATTAAATGTTAGTTTTTACTGGTGAATAAAAATATAAGGTAAAATGTGTCACTGAGTAGGTAAACATTTGAAAGATAAAGCACAGACAGACAGTCAATAGTTAGCATTACTGTAGTTGAAATTGTTTTGTAATGAGAAAATGTAAAACTATTGTTTCTACTTATATAGGAAGGACTTATCCCACTCACTTCATGTTTTCTATGAAAAGTGATGAAGGAATAGAAGGCAGAGCATCTCTCTTTAGACTCCTTGCAGTATATACATTATATAACCCAGAAATTAATTATTGTCAAGGTATAAAGTAATATGTTATACAATATACAACTCGTATTGTAATTACTGTCAAGGTATAGAGTAATATATTATATAATATACAATTCATGTTTTAATTACTGTCAAGGTATAGAGTAATATATAATATACAATTCATGTTTTAATTACTGTCAAGGTATAGAGTAATATATAATATACAACTCGTATTGTAATTACTGTCAAGGTATAGAGTAATATATAATATACAACTCATTTTAATTATTGTTAAGGTACAGAATAATATGTTATATAACTCATATTTTAATTACTATCAAGGTACAAGTAATATATTATACAGTATGTAACTTTGATTTTAGTTACTGTGCTCATGATAATTAAGTATTTATCATAAATAAATTGAAAATAAAAATAAAGGTAAACAAGTCATCATGTTTTGGTCATTAGAAAAAATAACAATGTAGGTGACTGGAAATATGACTAGAACTAAGCCTTTAAATCTGAAATTGCATTGTAACTAGCATGTGTTTTTATTTCAGGAATGTCCTATTTGGCAGCTATGTTTTTGATGCAGCTAGAGGAAAAAGATGCTTTCTGGGCCTTTGTGTCCTTGTTAGAAAGACGGAAATACTTGTGGGGATATTTTCATAATGTGCTTGAAAGGTTGGGTGAAGTGTAAAAAAAAAGCCAAAATGGAAAAAACTAAGTAATGTCAGTTATGACGAGAAATAAAAATTAGTTTTGCTTATTTCCTTTTCGTTTAATTTTTTATCAGATCTGAATGTTAGATTTGCATCCATGTTTTGTGTGTAACTAATATTTTGAAATTGTGTCAAAAAATAGATATTATTGGAATGAACTTTTATGAGTATCATGAATATAATAGTTAATTGAACATAAGCTTGAAATACTTCTAACTTATTAAAAAGAAATTATATAAAATTATGAGTACACGTGTATTGGTTATGTTTAAGGACACAGTTCACGATTGACCAGAATATATTTAATGAAAAGTAACTGTAAACAAAATAAGACAAGTTTATTTCATTTCTAGATAAATGAATAAAGCCTTAGAAATTTAAATATGCTGTATGAGTGTGTGTTTTTATGTATAAAAGTATGTATTTCATTTTTCACACCCTGAAGACAAATTCATAATATGATACATAAACAGGTGTGTGTGTGTGTGTGTAAGAGAGGTAGAAAGTTTTAATTATAGAAACCTGATCGAGTAGTGTATTATGTATCAAGCCAGACACTGGATGTGTTAACCCTCATGCTCCTGCTGTTAGACTAAACTTTATACACAACATGAACTATACAAACACTGTCCTCCTGCATTATTGTAATAGAAACATTAATTTTTAATAAACTACATTATTTTTTTACCATTTAAAAATTATTTTGCTAGGAACTATCATAGAGATTAGATTTGTACCAATGGCATTTCCACATGATATAATTTATGGCCAATAAATTTATAAAAAAGGCTAAACACTTTACAATGTAACCAGACTGTGTAGTTAATCTTATAGTTCCAGTTGTTTGCTCTTGCTTCTATGTACGTGCTTATTGGAATTACCTCATTCTTTATTTTACTAAGATACAAAACAGAGTAAGTCATAGTTTCTAAATCATAATAAATAATACCTCTGTTGAAACACCTAATGTACCATCAGTGTTCAGCTAATCATGATCATTTTCTTTGTATTTTATTATTTTAGTGTAAGAAAAATAACAACAAACTAACTACTAGGGTTGAAAAGGAAATGTTTTTTTTGAATTTTCAGAGTAGAGAGTCATGCCAAAGTATTTGAAAAAATTTTGAATCGCCATTTACCACGTATTCATCATCATCTGGTAAGTACCATAGTTAGTCTTGTGCTGATGGGTTAACCTATCAAAACGTAGCTGTTCATTGAAGATGTCAGAAATGTGAAGTTAAGCTTGTTACTGTGCTTTTATTAAGAACACTATGTGTGTGTGTAAAATATAATCTTTCTATTCATTCATAGTTTGGTATGTTAAAAATCATCTTACAATAAAAATGTGTAAAGCTGATTTCTTTGGTGTGAAAGAAATAGTTTTTTTTATACTTAATCTACATCATCCAGGCAGAACAATCTGATGGTATATATTAAAAAAAAGTATGGGTTATGGGAAAAAATGAATGCATTAGAAAGCATTCAGAGATGAAAGCAAAGCTCATGATTAAGTACGGTAGTATATAATAGCATGGATTGTGACGAAACAAAATGGTGGCCATAAATATTGCCTGTTTAAAAACACCTTTAATATTTCTGAATATTAACAATGAAAAGTTCACAGTATTGGTTGAGCAAAACTAAAGCCTATTGTACTTATAAAGCTGTATAAATCTCAGGCCTTCATTGTGAATAAGAAAACTTTTATATGGAAGCTTCTTTAATCAGTGGTTTTAGCTAAAGATTCTAGCTAAAGCCAATGATGGAAGAAGCCTCCGTATGAAAAAAGGGACTTCTGATTCACAAATTAAGACCTGAGATCAATGTCATTGAGTCATTAGGTAGCTCACTTCTAAGGATTTGAAATGTGTTGGTAAATACTTTTTAATTTCAATTATTATTCTCAGGTTAATAACTCTAGCCTGTTCATAGTCTGTTAAGCTACTTATAGGAATAAAAAGAAATACAAAACAAAAAACTAGTTGGGGATTAAGGAGTATTATAACTAAAACCAAAACCACACATTGAATACAAGTCTAAATCAGAAGAGGGCTACTTGAATGATACCTGGGAAGGTTGTCATACAAGGATAGGTTAAGATCTCTGAAGTTTTCTTCTCTTGGTAAAAGAAGAGGGTATTTGACTGAGGTGTAGAAGATTGTTAAAGAAATTGATAGTTGGTGCATCATCATTTTTTTACTTAACACTGAGAATGGTTGGACAAGGGAACACAAATACAAATTTTGTCAGGGTAGGAGTCATCTTCAGCTAAGACAGTTTTATTTTTCTAACAGGGTAGTTAGCCTTTGGAAGGGGTTGCTTTCATATGTGGTGGAAGCAGTAAATTTAAGGGAAGGCTTGAAAAGTATTTAAATGATAAGGGCTAACTTTAGTTATATATATATATATATATATATATGTATGGCGGATGGAACAGCCTAGATGGACCAATAGGTCCATTGTCCATAAATGCTATGTTAATGGATTACTCTTTATATGTGAGGAATTTTGTGAACACTTTCTAAGTTTTGAATATTCAGTATTTCATATTAAATATACATCATTATAAAATTTTGATCCCAATGGCTCAATGTGAAGCTTGTGAGCTTATGATCCTGAAATCTTGCATTTGATGTATATTATAAGTGGGTATAGAGCAGATAGCTCATTGTGTTGGTTTGCACTTAAACATACCAAATTATAAAATTTAGTTTACCATTTCTTTTACAGCTAAATAAATATTAATTTAAAACTTTATTTGGCCTAAAACTGGAATAACTGACACCGTAAATAGTGTTAAACTTCGTATTTTCATAATTGATTATCAGTTTTTGTGTAAAAATTTAAGCTTCAAATCTGTATAGAAGTTAGTTCTTATCTATTTGTAACAAATTTCATAGTTGTAGAAGTCTTATGCTACATACTAACTTGTATAAATGCAATATTAAGGGCATTCTTTAGTATATTTTATAATTTACATTAAAAATGTTATTTTATTATTCATTCTGAAACCATTAATAATTACATGTTTGAAGACATTTAAAAGTTACTGATGCCAACTTAGAACTTAAAAACAAGAGATCCTGATAACCTAAAATTAGGTGTACATACAGGGTGATGCAAACACCATACACACCATCATGATACTTATATCCTAACCTTGCTATGACATATTTGTGTTTTGCTAATTGTCTCTCTTGTTACAGTGGCTGATTGTTGATTGGGTTGTCATTAATCTTACAAAAAAGGGTGTAAATGAAGTGAATATGTCAAACAGTTTTAAGGGTAGGAGGGTGTAAGTGAAGTGAATATGTCAAACAGTTTTAAGGGTAGGAGGGTGTAAATGAAGTGAATATGTCAAACAGTTTTAAGGATAGGAGGGTGTAAATGAAGTGAATATGTCAAACAGTTTTAAGGGTAGGAGGGTGTAAATGAAGTGAATATGTCAAACAGTTTTAAGGGTAGGAGGGTGTAAATGAAGTGAATATGTCAGACAGCTTTAAGGGTAGGAGGGTGTAAGTGAAGTGAATATGTCAGACAGCTTTAAGGGTAGGACTTAAAAATTATTATGCTGGTGCATAACTTTTGAATCACCCTGTATATTACTATTGTAAGAAAAGGTGTCTTTGTGACAATGAAAAAAAATGTAGTACTTTGGTTCTGCAGAATTTAGTATTTGATGATGATGTTGACTTAAGAATGACACCACTGTTTTCCAATCCTGCAGAATGTAGTATTTGGTTGTGATGTTGGCCTAAGAATAACATCATTGTTTTCCAGTCATGCAGAATTTAGTATTTGATGATGATGTTGACTTAAGAATGACACCACTGTTTTCCAGTCCTGCAGAAGGTAGTATTTGGTTGTGATGTTGGCCTAAGAATAACATAATTGTTTTCCAGTCATGCAGAATTTAGTATTTGATGATGATGTTCACTTAAAAATGTTTGTTCGTTTATTTCGTTTTGAATTTCGCACAAAGCTCCACAAGGGCTATCTGCACTAGCCATCCCTAATTTAGCAGTATAAGACTAGAGAGGGGGGGGGGGGCAGCTAGTCATCAACACCCACTGCCAACTCTTGGGCTGCTCTTTTACCAATGTATAGTGGGATTGACCATTACATTATAATGCCCCCACGGCTGAAAGGGCAAGCATGTTTGGTGGGAGGATGGGGATTCGAACCCACGGCCCGCAGATTGCGAATCGAGTGCCCTAACCACCTGGCCATGCCGGGCCCAACTTAAGAATGACACCATTCTTTTCCAGTCTTGCAGAATTTAGTATTTCATGGTGATGATACCTTAAATGTCTTGAAACTAGTTTTTGTTTTTTAAAGAACATAATTTTACACTTGGGAAAAGTAAAGGTCTTCTGTTTTATTATTATTCTGAACAAGTTTATTTAGTATGGGAAATCACAACATTAAATGTTGAGTGAAGATGCTCATTAATTACTTTTATCTGTAGAAGAAGGTTTTACTTCTGTTTTTTTTTGTTTTTTTTCCAAAATTATCATTAGATATACGCTTAGACTTAAAAACTTCTGTTACTTGTATTTTAGAACAAACTAGAAGTTGAGCCACTGATGTATACCACACAATGGGTGCTGTGTGTCTTCACTTCACTTCCCTGTTGGGACACAGTCTTAACAGTGTGGGACTTGCTCCTGTTGGAAGGTGTGTGTGCACCAAATCATTGAATTAAGAAAATATAGTATCCTCTTTCCTAATTATATTATGCTAGCACTAACATTGATATGTCTGAGTAGCTGAAAAAAAAAAGTTTACAAAAATCATTAGAAACCTTGAAAGGTAAAGGAATGGTTTAAATATATTATTTGTTTTTCCTTAATCAAACCATTACTATACATCTATATTTAGTAAAAACAAAGCAAATAGATAATTACAATTATAAAAAACATTGAAAAAATGTATTTGCAAAAATGACACTTTGCAGTAGTTCATCATTCCATATGCTTTTATGTCTACAGCAAAGAATCAGAAACCTTATGAAATAAGAGTAATATTTAAAGTGAGAAACAACTGTGTGGTTGATTTTTATAAGGGTTTTTATTCTTGGACTACTCTTCATGTACTATATAACACCACTATTTTGAGTTTCTAGTTATAAACTTGAATGAATAGAGAAGTTTCAGAAGAAGGAAAATATAAGGTAACTTTAACCTGCAAGTTCATTGTTACTGTTAAGTTTTAGTATGTAGTTTGAAATACCTAATGACAGTTGCTAAGATTGTGACTAAAACTTGTAAGTTATTAAATTTATATATTACTACAAATTTGTAAGACACATTTATATATATAAGTGTTTGATAAGTGTACAAGAAGAGTATGCTAAGTTTTAAATCAAATTCAGTATAAGAAATACATTCAGGTTTTGTTCCAAGTCAATATCAGTGTAATGACTGAAATAGTCATGAATTTCACTCATCTATAACTAGTAAAGAATAAAACTGTAATCAGATATATTTGTGTAATATTTTTATAAATTTTCAAAACATTCGATTTAATCTTAATTTAGATTAATCATTTGTTGGAATAATTGAAAACAGAAATAATCAGAAATGCTAATTTCGATTAGTTGATTATTTTTATAGTAGTCAGTATAATTGGAAGTTTGAATAATCGGTTGTTGGATTAATCTGGAATACTAATTTTGATTAATCGATTAGTTTTTGTGACACCAATTGATGTAATTGCTGCTTATATGTAATCAATTATATCTTAAATTACCCAGTTTTTAAAAGTCTGGTCCAGTTACATAGCTTCATACTCATACTAAACCTTTATCATCATTAGGAAAAGATATGCTACTTCAAGGAATGTTCCCTTTACTACAGTTTCATTTTCTTTTGGTGTACAGGTAATGTGGTCATATTTCAGACAGCCTTAGCCATCCTGAAAGTCATTGGCCCATCACTGCTGAAACTTCATGATACAAACAGAGCAATTAAATTGTTACAAAACATACCACACTGTGTGTAAGTGTAACCTCACCCTGAAATGTATGTTGAGATAATCTTAAGATTAAACCTTTTAACAGTTAGTAAAATTATAGGATCACACATCACTCATTGTAGAACATTTTTGAAGATAGTAAGTTATTCAATTAGATGTGAAAAGTAATAATGTATGTGTGTATCTTGTAAATAATTAATTTGATTATTGATAATTAGAATTGTAAGAACTTTAAATGTGAATAATATAAATAATACATCCTATTATAACAGTATAAGTTTTAAAGATTTATTTCTCTGATGTTTTAAAATTCACCAAAAAGTATTATCCTATTTACCCAAATGCTCTTACTATCAGAGAGAATTTAACAGCTGCAGTTTTAAGGTAAATTTTTTTTTACTGTTTACTTGTAGTTTTAACATTGTGTATTTTCTCGGTACTTTTTAAGTTTTGTTACCTCGAAGAGTTTTGTTAGTAAGGAAAAGAGTTTTGTTAATAAGGTAGAGACATGAATTTCAGAGAATGCTCTGTATGGGTGTGACCATGGCTGAAAAGAGCTATGTTGTGGGGTAAGAACACTAGATGTATGTGTTGGCAGTGTTACTGGGAAGTTGGTTGGTTTCATTCTTTAAGTATAAGATGGAATAACAAAGACTGCTGACTTCTAAGCCTTTATCTCTGTTGTTGCTTACCCTCATAATGTTGATGTGCAAAGCTTTTGTGAATCTCAAGGTAATGCAGAATTAATTTTGGTCTTGAACGTAGTAGTCTTTCCCAGTCCCAGTTGATAGCATATACAGACTTAAAGGTGTGTTCAGTATGAATTATGAATTTTGTATGTGGTTTTCTTGGACTTTTCTATTTGGTGTGTAAGAGGACTTTCAACACATTTCTCTGTTAAATGATTTGGATATACGTTTTATTTTCTCACTCAGTTTTGGAATGAAATTAATGGGCAAGGATCTATTGCTTTTATTGGAATAGTATAAGTCTTTCCATAGAGGAGCAGAGAATATTTGAAATAGTGATGCTTTTGATACTCAATGCAAACACACCATATAAACTTATAAATCAGAAAAGGTATCCAATTAGTTTTGTTGTTAACATTAATGAGAACATCCAACCAGCTGATTAGCAACAGACTTTTGGGCACATGTACCTTCCTTATATTCCAAACCTGAGTGAGGAGCTAAAATTTATAGCCAATAAAAACAACACAGAAGCTTGTTGGTAGTTCTCCAGACTGAAATTCATCCTCGTATGCAGCAGACAGAAACCATGCACTAAAAAAGTTCAATAGCAAAATAAATAAGATCCAGTGTTCATGCATGCAAATATACATAAGAAAAACTACCAGACATTTCGTGGTTAGACTTAAAGAACACAAAGATAACACTGGATCAAAGAAGAAACACAACTATTACATTGCTGAACACCTTTAAAACTGGACACACACTACCAACTGGGAATACTACAAGTTTTTGACCATGACATATGCCGAAAGACACAAAAACTAAAAGGACTTCTACATCAATACTAAGAAACCAAGCAAAGCAGAGAAACAGGCTCGGAAGTCAGCAGCCTTTGGTACTCCGTTTTAGGCTCAGAGAGTCAGACTAAACAACTTCCTAGAGCCACAGATATCCATCGTTCTGACACCACAACATATTTCTCTACCAGGCCTACACTTAATAGCTGAAGTTTATTCTCAGTCAATCCACCTCCAATCACATGAAGCTCTCTCTCATAACAGTATTATATAGATCTCTTTAAGATGTATATTTCCACTTTATTGACACAACTTTCCTTGGAACAAATGAATCTGAAGACAAAAGTAATCCCAAAATTCATTTCCTACTGCTTCACTCAATACTCTACTATTCTGAGATCAGTGTTTTTAATAGGCTGTTGCAGTCCATACTTACTTATTCCTCATCTTGACAGACGGCCTAAGTCCTTTATCAAGGAGTACTTGCTTCTGTTATTTATGTCATTCCCTAGCACTTATCAAACTTCTGATAGCACCGAAAGAAGTCACCTAATTACTTAAGCTAAGTAGTTGGGTTTTACTGTTCTGTTTTGGTGAAAACTAGTATGTTATGTCTACTATTCTAGATCCAGAAGGGAAACATTGATCCCAGCAGTGTTTAGCTCAAATTTTGAAGGCTGGGAAATCTATTGGATTCAAGTAGTTGTACAAGAAGAAACCATGAAATCTCAAAAACATTCATCAACAAATAATGTGTTAGAAAAAAACAAACTAACAAGATTATTTAAAGAGAAAAAGAAAAACAGCCAACAGCAGCAACTATCTGTCCTTGAAAGACTCAGCGTGTTACTGTGGGGAGAAAACAGTAAAACACATGGCTATGTTAAAACTGAGAACAGGCAAAGTCTTGCACCAAACAGTAGAAGAGCAAAGAGAAATGGTGTGGAACCTCAACAGGCCTGGGATTGTAATTATAAAGAAACGTGCAATTAATCACCAGCTAAGAGACTTTGTCTTAGGTTTGTTAATTTTTGTTACTAAATATTTATATTTTTTTAATATAAAATATTAAGGTTGATGATATAGTTTCTAATGTTCTGTTATTACATGGTATGTTGTTCTTCTTTACTTGTTTTTAGTGTTTACTTTATGATACGGGGGTGAGTGGGCAAAAAGACTAATTGACAAGAAAAATTGCCAGTCACAATGCATTTCAAATGGACAATATGACAACTGACTAGAAAAATACAAAACGTGCATTTAGTTTTTGAATACTATATGGTTTACAAATAACATAGTAAGACTGTTATCTCAATAATAATTATTAAAAATTAAATTTGAGTAAGCCCTGAAAGTATGATTTGTTTTACATATATACATTTAAAGTGACACTAACATAGACATAAAATGTATCATCCGTTATTCCTCTTTGAATACTTTTAAAATTATTATAATACATATAAGTAATAAAAAAACACAATGAATACATTATCAAAACAAAAGTTCTGATTCTATCTTGCTATAATATGAAGTTTATAAATCATCACAGTGCATCTATCAGACTTTGGAATCATAATTTATTTAGTACTTCTCATTAACCCCATGTACGTGGGTGAGGGTCAAAGTGCACATGACATGACCTTTTACAGAGTGCTATCCAACATGGTATTACGTATTTAATGTCAGAGGTAAAAACTATTAGTTTTATCCTACATTGCTGATTTAGTGACAGTTTGTGGTTGAGGAGATTATAACTGGATACAATATATATGCATTTCAGAGGTTTTAAGGGGTTATGCAAATACAATATGCAAACTGCACAATGAACAAAATAATTTACATTTTCAAATGAACGTGAACTTGAACTCTGACTTGTCTGAGTCAGGCCAGTGTCTTCAATTCACAGACATATCTTGAGTACAAATTCTTTTGGAACACATCTGATTTCTTGATTCATTGTACCACCCCCCCATGCATATTTGGTTAAGAGAGTTTTTTTTATTTATTATCACTATTCATGCAGCTGCACACTTTCTCTACACAGGTATAACCATGAAGTAGCTTATGACATAGATCATATTAACAAAACATTTAGTCATTGTAATTAAAGTAGAAAAATCTATTCATTTCTTTTACATACTTTCAACACTTCCCGTAAGAAGTGCATTTTATTCCAGATGTTGTAAAACTTCATAATGTTCACCCAAAACTACACTGTACCATATGATTTTGGTTGTTTTTTTTCACTAATTAGAGGTTGGCATAGTCTAGTTGTTAACATGTTGAACTCTGAATCCAAAGCTTCATAGTTTGTGTCCCATTTCCACAGAATCTCGCTTTGCACTTTTGAGCAGTGGGTGAATTATAGGAAAGACCATCAAATCCCACTTTTCAATTAAAGTAGCCCAAAAGTTGGTAGTGGGTACCATTGGCTAGATACCTTTCCTCCAGTGTATCAAAATTAGGGAGGACTAGTACAAATATTTCTTGTTGGTAGCTTTGCATGAATACTCAAACAGACAAACTATTAATTAAACACGCATGATGGATTTTATTATGTATACATTAATTATTAAACCATATGTGAACTATAGAAAGAAACATCTTTGTAACTCTGTTTTCGAAAGTGGGTGTGGAAGTGGAAATGTATACAATTTGTATGACAAGTCAGAAACTTTGCTACATTAGTTATTTGTGCACGAGGTTTGTCTATATACATTGGAATGAAAAAAAAAGGTGATGTACAGTTGACAACAAAACACACAATGAAAGATCATGCTAAATGACTTTTGTACATAAATATTCATTATATTTATAACACTTAACTTTTCTCAAAGTGAACTGAAAATTGCATGTGTGTGTAAATTATTAGTATAAAACAACTGTTTTTTTTAACAGTATAATAGTTTAGACTTGCAACAAGCTACTGATGAAAATTAAACTAGAAAGTAGATTAGCAAAATAGAAAGGTTGTTGTAAACTTCCTTAATTAAAAAAAAAAATTCCAACTTGCTGTAGAGGCACAGAATATTACTAAGAAAAAGTTATAAACAACACTTCTACTCAAGCATTGTTTATCAGAAAGCACCATTATACCAGCAGTAAAAAAAAATTATAATAGTGCAAGTCATAGGATTTTAATAAGAAATTTAAGTTATGATTTCAACAAGGTCACTGTAAGTATACATTATTCATTGTTATGAAATAGCCATTTTGAGTTGTACCCAAACTAGTTTTGGAGACAGAACATGTGTTGTTTACAGGTGCTTGTATAGGATAATCAGTTTGTTTCTGCTAACTTTGGTTATAGTAGTTTTCTGTCATATATTCCATAATTTTAGTTATGTGCGTACATTTTACAGAGTTTACACTCCCCAGGAAAATTTGATAAGCTTCTTGGCAGGTCAGTAAGTGAAATGTATTTCTTAATTTGTAACCTTTTTTGGCTGAAATATGAGGTATGCATTTTTTTCATCAATTACGATGTATTAAAAATGAAATTACATTTCTTGGTGCCGAAAAATACAACATAAAACTA